AGTAGTAGTAGTAGTTAGTAGTTAGTAGTAGTAGTAGTAGTAGTAGTAGTAGTAGTAGTAGTAGTAGTAGTAGTAGTAGTAGTAGTAGTAGTAGTAGTAGTAGTACGAATCGCAGAAGGATGGGGAGGAAGACGAGGAGGGGGACGAGAAACGGAAGAGAAGGTGGAGGAGGACGAGGAGGTAGAGAAGGAGAGGGGACAGGAGGAGTGAGGGAGCGGGAAGAGGAGGACAAGGAATCGCACTGTCCAGGGGCATCCGCCCACCATGGATGGCGGGGGGCGAACAGGACAGAGAGAGAGAGAGAGAAAGTGAGAGACGCGACGGTTCGGAGCGCGCGTCCGCGCGCTGACGGGGCTAGCGCGTTTCGGGGCATCGGGTTACAGTACATGGCGAACTGCGCGTTCAGACCTTGGCGTTCCGTGGCGGCGCGACGGACAAAGCGACGCCGTACGTGGCACGGAGAGAGAGAGAGAGAGAGAGAGAGAGAGAAAAAAAAAAAAAGAGAGAGAGAAAAGAGAGAGAGAGAGAGAGTTTGACAGAGAGTTTGACAGAGAGAGAGAGAGAGGAAGAGAGAGAGCGGGGACAGGGAGAGAGAGAGAGACGGAGAGCAAAGACAGAGTGTGACAGTGAAAGAGATTGGTGCATGCGGGGGTCCGCGCGGGTTTTTGGGCTACGAGCGCCCCGCGCGTCAGTACCAGTTTGGGCTATGGCGCGGCCTAGTGGCACAGGAACCCCAGGGCGTTCCTGGTGCGTGACCGGCAAAGGACACAGGAGTGACCGTGTGGACGCGGAAACGACGCCACGCGCCGCACGGCGAGCGTACCAGTGACGAAAAATACAAGAGAGGGAGAGAAGACATTTAACAAATAAGAAAGCGGCGAAGACACAGGAGGGGAGCAAAAGGATGAGGAGGAGGGGAGTTACGCAGGTGAAAAGGGGCTGGGACTGCAATTGGGCGTGTGGGTGGGAAGGAGGGCTACGACGGTTGGGAGGAGGACGTGGTTATCTTTCTTTTCGGCGCGAGAGGAGGAGGGGGCGTCTAGGGGTGGGAACCACAGGCTTCAAAGCATCCTGAGGCTCGAGGTGCTGCCTCAAGCACGGTGCGCCTTCCACCGGCTCGTGGTTTGGCGCGCGCGCGGTTGAGACTCAGGGCTTGGCGCCCGCGGGTTGGCAAAGCGCCCCCGCTCCTTGCACCTCTGGGCCGCCGAGCGCCGAGGGAAAGGGGCGAGGGCCCTGGAGAGGCCCGCCCAGTGGCGCTCGCGGCTGAGGCGGAGCTTCGCCCGCCGCCGACAGCGTCAGACCCCCCCCCCCCCGCGTCCACCTCGCACCCATCCCGCTGCTCATCATCCTGATCCTCGTCCGCGTCCTCGTCTTCGTTCTCGTCGCCGTCACCGTCATCGTCGTGGTGGTGGTGGTGGTGGTCATCGTCGTCGTCGTCGCCGCCGTTGTCGTCGTCGTCGGCGTCGGGCTCCCCACTGCCGAGCGTCGGCGGGGCGATCGCCGGCGCGCAACGTCGGGCGGGAAGGCCGTCCTCTCCACTAATCGGGCGGACGGCTCTGGGCGCCTCTCGCTGCGTCCCCGCCTGCCCGTCGAAACGATTGTGGCTCGAATTTGTCGCGAGGAGGGCAGCGGCACGTACACCTCAGGCGATGCTTAAGAAAACTTGAATTTTCGGCCAGGGTCTCGATTATTCTTAATGTTTCAACGTAAATCTTAAGATTTTAATAGAAGTTGTGGGTTTTTAGTCAAGTTCTGAGACTATGAATTTCTTAACCCATGATTTCTTAAGCATTTCGCGGGGTGTATAGCCCCTCCTCATACGAGGAAAGTGGGGAGCAAGGGCGGCACGGAGAAGGAGAGTCGGGCGAGGACGGGGGAGGAGGAAGGGAAAAGCAGAGGGAGAGCGGGGATCGGGGATCGGCCAGCCTGCCCCGACTCCCGCCTCTGGCAGGTTCCCCCGATCTCCGGCCGTCTGCACACCAGGCGAAGGAGGGAGGAGGGAGGACGAGGGAGGAAGGAACAGGAGGGAGAACCAGGAGGACGAGGAGGAGGGCGGAGAAGAGGGGAAGGAAAAGTTGGAGGGAGGCTGGGGAGGAGGAGGATGAGGAGGAGGAGGAGGAGGAGGAGGAGGAGGAAGGCCGCTTGCGGGAGCTTTATCCCAGCACTCGCCCACAGGCGCCGCGCTCAGCCGCGCGCGCGCGCCCTCGGGAGGGCCGGCCTCAGCGCGCCAGCCGCGATCGGCGGTGCGCGTACCACGAAAAGGTGAACATCCAGGGGAGGGTAGGGTGATCACCCACCTGCGTGCGAGCATCGGGAAAGGGTGATCATCCACCAGCTCTGGAACTACAAGCCAGACATCTACAACATCAGTGAATGGCTCCGAGACCGACCCGCTCGGTGGAAATTCACTGGTACATATACCGAGACCATACACGCATAGAGGACGCGAACAGATGCAGCTCTCAAGAGAACTGACGGGAGACCTTGTCCGACACGGGTTACAACCATATTTCAACGCCATCATGACCAGTATTTCGACAGCCTTCACGGCATCCTCTACAAGACGGGACGAGTTGCGTAGCATGCAGCCCGAGGAAGAGCTGCGCAACAGCTAGCCCAAGTACGAGAGCCACCACCAGTACGACAACAAGCAGGCCACCAAGATCGTCGGCAAGACGACGGAATGAGCGGCGGTCTGAACCCAGCCGCGGCCATCTTTAAGCCGAGCCAGGCCACGATCGTCCCCCCGAGCGAGAAAGGACAGTACTGGGGCGACCTTGCGTTTCCTTTTCTCAGATACAGGAGCCAGCGTGACAAGCCACAGCGGCCCCCAGGGCAGATACGACTACCAGTGCTACGGCGACCACCATGACTACGATTTCTAACAAAGCTGCCAAGGCTTCGGTGCCATGTGCAACTACGCTGCTTGGGACCACTGATACAAGCCCAGGAAGGCCAAGGAGGCCAAGCAGGCAGAGGAGGCCCAGGAGGCTCAGGAGGACAAGAAGGCTCAGGAGACCACAAGAGAGCTACAAGGACCCTCAGCAGAGCTACAGGATCGACTAGGCGACTTCCAAGGCAACGCGCAGAGCCTCGAGGGCCACTGGAAGAGCTTCCAGAGCCACCAGCTGAGCTACGGGGACAACAAGCTGTGCTACGACGGCCGCTCGCAGAGCTACCGGTGCCACCAATTGGGCTACCAGGGCCAGGTGCCTAGCCACGAGGACCAGCTGATCTACGAGGACCACTTGCACATTTACGAGATCCCACTGCTGAGCCACTGGCTCAGCTACTAGGCCACCAGCAGAACTACGAGGGCCAGATGAGCTTCGAGGTCCGCAAGCTGGGCTAAGAGGACCACCGCCTGAACTACCAGGGCCACCGGCGGAGCTACGGAGACGACAAGCTGAGCTACGTGAAACCCGTACAGGGCAGGGAAGACCTCCAGCAGAGCCACCAGCGCCACCAGCTGAACTGCAAGGTCAACGAGCAGAGCGTCGAGAGCCCCCGACACAGTTACGATAGCCACCAGCTGAGCTACAGGGGCAGCAAGCCGAGCCACGAGGACCGTGATCAGGACTCCGAGCCCCGCCAGCTGTTCCAGGGGGACCACAAGCAGAGCTACGATGGCCGCGCGCAGAGCTACGACGGCAACCAGGACCACATGCCGAGCAACGAGAGCCACCAGTTCAGCTACGAGGACCACCTACTGAGCCACGTATGCCACAAGCAGAGCTACGGGAGCCACCAGCGGGACTACCGGCGCCACCAGCTGAGCTTCCAGAGCCACTTGCAGGGCTGCGAGGGCCACAGGCTGAGCTTCGAGGTCGGCAAGCCGAGTTACGAGGACCACAAGCCGGGCTACTAGGACCACCAGCTGAGCAACGAGGGCCACCAGCAAGGCTACAAAGGCCACAGGCTGAGTTGCGCGAAACACGAGCTGAGCAGCATGGGCCTCCAGCAGAGATACCAGCGCCGCCAGCTGAACTACAAGGTTCACGAGCAGGATCTCAACGACAGCTACGAGGACCACCAGCCGAACTGTAGGACAGCAAGCCGAGGTACAAGGGCCGCGTGCAGAACTTCGAGAGCCACATGCTGAGCTACGAGGGCCAGACGAGGAGAGCGACAAGCAAAACGAGCCCATCTTCATCATGTACGCCGCGCTGGAGGGACTGGACTCCCTCAGGCCCATGATCGCCGAGGGGGAGGGAATTACGTTGGCCTTCACAATCAAGGCCATACCCAAACTCATGAACCCCGCATGCAACAAACCCCACGATACGATGGTGCCCATAGACATGAGCGCTGGCCGCCACTACGCGGACGGGGACGCGACGGTTCGCCTCCGACCACTACGAGGCGCACCAGAACCAGATACTTGTGGGCCAACGACCCAATGCCCCGCCGCAGAATTTCTACCACCTCAGAAGAAAGACGAATGCGACCACCAAGGCAGCGAGGGCGCCGTGGAGCACGACGAAAGTAGCGAGAAAGACAACACCTTTTCAAACGAAGACAGGTGGAACGCTGAGCACTACGACCTAGCAAGCGACGCCGCCAAGGAGTCATGGCGAGATGGGCTTGCCTGGAGACGGAAAAGATGACGAACTACTGCAGCGCTACGGACAAGGGTGTCCATGTACATATTACATGCAAGACACTGCGCCGATCCACTTATCGATGTAGGCATCATCATAGACATCGTGTATATTTCCCAGAAAGTACTCCGTGAACTAAGCTACCGGCAAGATGCTACGTGTAGTGTACGCACCGCGTCTACGGTTGAGCGGCCCCGCCGCTCATCCCACCTCCCCGCCCCGGCCCCGGCCGCGCCCGCGCGCGTCGGGCGCGGGGCGCGCCCTGTGGGCGACGCGCCCAGCGGCTGCGGAGAGAGGGGGGGGTCCTCCCCCTCTCTCCGCAGCCAGGGAGGTTCTCCTCCTCTCCGCAGCGCGGCTGTGGAGAGGAGGAGGAGGAGGACAAGGATGAAAACGGGTAGGAAGGTGGAGCATCCCCCCTCCCGCCTCCTGGGCAACGGCTCCTCCCCCGGCAGCCACATCCGCAGGAGGCGTGCAGGGCCATCGTGTCGCTCGCCCCGAGCCTGGTCAGCTTGAGCGCCAACAACGCCTCCATCTTGGAGGGCGCAGGCCGGGAGGGGGGGCCTGCCGATGAGCTTCAGGTAGTGTTTTGCCAGATTTGTGTGTGTGGTTCGTGTCGTGTGCTTGAGTATTCTGCGTTGTGTCTTGTGTCATGTGACGTGTGTCTTGTGTCTTGTGTCCTGTGCATTTGTGTGTATGTTGTTTCTGTCGTGTGTGTGTGTTGTGTGTGCTGTGTGTTGTGTGGTTTGCGTGTTGTGTGTTGTGTGTTGTGTGCGGCGTGTTGTGCGTTTCGCATGTGCGTGAGTGTGTGAGTGTGTGTGTGTGTGCGCGCGCGTGCGTTACCGCATCTTCTTTGCCTTGTTTTGCACTTCGCATTTCATGAAATGGCACCTCGGCATGCACACGAGTTTCTACATGGTATGAGCGTGGTTCGCTCTCCCACGGCCTCTCCAGCCTCCCGCCCTGCGCGGCCCTTGCCCCTGTGCCTACCTGTGCCCTGGCGCGCTTCGCCGCTGCTGGAGTGCCGTCTGATCCTCTTGCGGCCGCTGACTCGAAACTTCACCCTTGTTTTTTTTTTCACTTCTTTTTTTTTTTTTTTTTTCTTCGAAACTTCACCCTTGAAGCTCCAGTGATGGCACGCAGTCCGTGTCGGACCTCATCACACTTGCTGCGTCGCGTTGAAGGGCTTCGGTGGTCAAGCACACGTTGGCGCGAACACGCGCTCTGAGCATCACGACCAAACACCCGTGGCAGGGCCCCCCACCAAGGATCCTTCCTCCTTTTCCCCTTGCCGTGTTTCGGGAGCTGTTTGGTTGCAGTCATGCGGTCACAAACGTTGGCTTAACGTGTCGCGCCTCCAGCTCTGGCCCACCACGCTTCGGCGCGACACGCTAACAACGCCCCAGTCGTCAACGTCCCGAGCTTTCCTCGGGCAGACTCGCCCTCCGACCTACATCAACAACACCAACATCACCTTTTCCATCACCATCCGGGCCAGCATGGGCACCGCCTCGTCTCTCTTCGCCCTCCTCTCTCCTTCCCTTTTCCGCCCGTTTCCCGAGCATTCAGGCGTCAAGGAGGTGCTCGAGAACGCCGTCTGGCAGCGCGTGCGCTGGGCGCCGTGGTCGCGCCAAGCATCGGACGGCTATGGCGCTGCGGAGCACGAGGAGACCGCCCCGCGAACAGCAGGGTTTGGAGGCGGGCGCGTTTTCGAATCGAGCGACTTGGGGGCCCCAGCGAGACGCAGTCTTGAAGGGTGGTCTGGACAGCGGTTCGGAGTGATCTGGGGCCTGGATTGTCCTCGAAGCGCGTGCTTCCACCCTCGCCTTCGCCATCAGGCCCTGCCAGGCCATGCCAATCGTCCGCTTCCCTTTTGGTATGGGTTGGCAGCGGTGGGTAGTTTCCCAGAGCGGTGGTGGTTTGTTCCTTGTGTATCCAGGTTTGCTGCAGCGCATAACCAGCACCGTCGGGGTTGGTGACGAGGGGGCTTGGAGAGTGCATGACAGCAGGGGCCCTTTCGGCCCCCTCTCAGGCTCTGTTATGGGCATCTCTCTTTCCGTTTGCAGCCGTAAGCGCAGGGGTTCAGGGGAAAAAGAAGACGCATGTTGGGCTCGATGCGCAAAGGGGTGGGGGGGCGTGTGCAAGCTCCGCAAGCGGCAAAATAACTGAAAGGGCCCGTCACACATTGACAGAGACAAACACACAAACACTGACAGACACATACACATACACAAACACACACCCACACACACATACACACAAGCACACACACACACACACGCACGCACACTTTTTCCTCCAACGGCCCGCTGGCCCCACGGGACGGAGCATAGTAACGTGGCGTGTCTACCACGAATTAGCTTGTTGTGAAGCAGCGCAACGGGTCGAATCGTTTGGAGACCGCGCGCAGGCGCCTTCAAGGCAGAAGACGGAAGCGGGGGCGCGAGCGCAAGCGAACGCCAACACCCGGCCCGACCGAGGAAAGGTGAAGGAAAAGGAGGAGGAGGAGGAGGAGCAGGAGGAGGAGGAGGAAGGGAGGAGGAGGAGGAGAAGGAGGAGGAGGAGGAGGGGAGGAGGAGGAACATGAGGAGGAGGAGGAGAAGGAGGAAGAGGAGCGGGGCCCACCGCTGATCAGTGACAGGCAGTCGAGCGGCCGAGGCGCAGGCCTACCGAACGGCAGCAGGCAGGCCAAGCTTGTGGCGAGTGTAAGCTGGACAAGAAGAAAACCAATCAAGGTACAGGACTGGAGTTGATCTGGTCGTCCCCCCGTGCCCAGTTCTGACCCACAGCTTAGTCGCAGCTGCTGTGGGTTGGTTCAAGAAAAAGACTGCGGCCCGCCCACCCGACGCGTGAGCCCTCCCGGGTGCCTCCCCCGGCCGGCCGGCCACCGCATATCTTGTTGTTAGTCTTAGCGTAACGGACACCTCCATATTCATCTAGCCATGGCATTGAGGGATACATCACGTACATTGAAGATACAACTGAGCGAAAGAGATTACGACAGGAAGAAGATGAAGGAGAACAGTTACGAGACGATCATGATCACATGCTGCCTGTCAACATGGCAAAGAAAGAGCCCATTTCATTAACGAGTTGACAAAATGCTGGCGATCAGCAAAAAATTCGATATTCGATGAAAGTGGTCATGACAACCATCCAAGGGTTATGTACAACCAAAAAAGCCACGCCACGGCATGAGTCTAGATGTTCCTGAAATAGAGATTGCCGGTTATGTCGGGGAATCGAGCCAAAGTCCTCCCTCGAAGATCTGTTGGAACCTCTCAGCCGGTGACGAGCCACTTCCTAGCACTTGGAAGATCAAGGGCACCACGCGACCCGACTGAGAGGGTGAAGATGAAAGAGGACTTCATACCAAGCGATAATCAACCGGATGTCCCCATTCACTTCTCGGACGGCGGCCACGACGTGGAGCCGATTTCGTCGGAGAAAAATTTCTCTTGCAGGTCAACGCCCAGGCCCATGTGCTTCCATGGTGGTCATTGGCCTCATGATGGGGGAGGTGAGGTGTTATGACCGCGTCTCCTGTTCCATTGGGCGATTTCCAGCCCCCTGCGCAGGCACTGCTCACATATGGCGAGGATGCCGCGATTCCATCTGATGATTCTTTGGAACGGCATTTGGAGGGAGTCGTGGGCGGTCCCCATAAGGACGACGCGCTCGCAGAGACGTGAGCCTGTTAGTCTTTCAACGACCTCGCCGCTCAGGAAGCGAAGTAGACCTGGCGGCATCCCGGAATACAGCCCTGAGTTCGCTCCGGGGGGAGCGCCCAGGAGCCGTGCCCCCGGGCCCCCACCGCGCCTTCCTCAGTCGAGTCAGAAAGCGCCGACCTCAATGTCTGGGGCGCCCGACTCACGGACCCGCCCCCCCCGCAAGAGGAGCGCAAAAGGGGGCTGACCCAGGGCCTCAAGACCGCGATCTGAGGCATCTGATCTGTCCAACCTGTCGGGCAGGTCGAGCGCCTTCAGCAGACATATCAACGCCAAGCGTGCCACCTATGGACCGAAGTGCGCTGTAGTACCAGAATGCGGGGCCCTGGTTTATCGGGCCAGTGCAAGAGGCCTGCCAGCTCCGGGTGCTCTGACATCTGCGGCATCTGCAACCCGGACGTCTCATGCCCGACGCGCACCGCACCTAGCTCGCACAATTGCGCCGGGTTGCGCGTGAACGAGCGGCGCGAAGCTGAGGAAAGGAAGAGGTTTGAATTTATGGAGATAAGGGAGAGAGACCTGGCGGAGATGCGTGAGCGATTGAGACAGTCGGAGTCAAGCGGTTGCCGCCCTTCAGTTGGAGCGAGACCAGGAGGCCATGGCGAACGCCGCGCACTGCAGGAGGAGCGCCAAAGGGCGGCGGCGGCGGCTCGACCGCCTTCCGCGGCGACAGAGGAAATGAGAGAGCTCGGCAACAGGTTGGAGATTACCGCTGCCTCCGAGCGCCAAGCACACAGGAGAGAATCGGAACGTGCGGCTAGCCGCGGAAGCTGCCGCTGCCGCTGTGCAGGCCGAGACGAATCGAATCGTCGCGGGTGAGAGCTATGCTCGTTCCGAGGCCGAGATGTTACGCGCCCGTGAGTAGATGCGACGGGTCGAGGTGGCCGCTGAGAAGAAAGTCGCAGCGAGTACTCGTACTCGCGCAGCAGGAATGGAGGCCGCCCGAACGACGAAGAGTCGGGAAGCCGAGCGGGGCCGTTTGCACCGCAAGCTTGATCAGCACCAGATGCAGCGGAAACAGATCGGAGCATCTTCGGCAGGGTTTTCAGGCATCGGTCGGTGGCCCAAGCGGTTACGGCGGCAGTGCCTACCGCGCTTTCGTCGGCACCGACTGCGGTTGGGCGACCAGCCTCATGCGGGAACTCGGGGCGGAGTCCCCACGCGGGAGCTCTGCAGTGGCTACTCGCGTCTGCCCCTCGTGCAACAAAGGCGCTTGTGACGAACGCTTCGCATTGGACGGCGAGGCGCGCGCGCTGCCATGGCCAGGATTCAGCCGTGAGAAGCAACGAAGCGGAGGAAAGAAGAGGCTGCTTGAGTTTAAAGAAGCTGCGAGGGCGGAGAATGAGAGACCCAAGGACAAGCTCGAACAGGTTATGCAGCGGGAAGAGGATAACGCCAGGATGCGCGCTGAGCGCAGGGTGAAAAACCAAGAGATGCGCGAGCAAAGGACTGGGGGGCAGGGCGGGAGAACGACTGCGCGCAGGAAGCGGCGCCCCGAGCACCAGCTGCGCGCACCGCCTCTCCATTCCAGCATCGTGTTCCGTCGCCCGACAACGTGACAAGGACGGACCGACCAGGACTGACGATCCCCGGCAGACGATCCCCAGCAGCTGACGCGCCTCTTTCCCCCGCCTCCTTTTTCCTTCCGTCTGTAACGATTTTGGCCCAAGCGCCCAGCTATAGCGGAAGCGCAGCTGTCCCCCTGCCTGAAGCGGCGCCGCTTGCGTCGCGCTTATTGCCCTCCAGTTGTAGGCCGTGTGTCGGCGCCAATCACCGGCGCCGCCCCCGTGCGTTTCAATTTGGCCCTTTGCCATTCGAACGGGCAGGGGAAAATTATTTTAATGACGCGCCCCGCTTGCTTTTTTGAATCACTCAGCCCGCGATGTCTAGGGTTTCCAGTTCCCTTCCATGTATTTCCCCGTTCCCTCGCCGCGCATTGATCATGACGACGGTGATAGTGACGACGATGACGGCGTTAGGGCGACGACGGTGGTGGCAAAAACGGATAGGTAAGGTAATGGTAGTAGTGATGATGGCGGCGGTGGTGGTTATGGTGATGGTGGTGATGGTCGTGGTGATGATGTCGAAGGTGGTGACCACGATAATGATGATGATGGTGGTGATGGTGGCGACGCCGACGACGCTGTAGATGATGATGGCGATGGTGGCGACGACGGATATGACGACGATGATGGTGATGATGATGATGGTGATGATGGTGATGATGATGATGATGATGATGATGATGATGATGATGATGATGGTGGCGGTGATGGTAATGGCGAGGGTGAGGGTAATGGTGATGGTGACGGCGATGATGGTGATGGTGGTTGTGGAGAAATGGTGATGGTGACGGTTGTACTGGTGGTGGTGGTGTCACTCGCCGTTCCGTCCCCCCCCCTGCGCGTGAGGAGGGGCTGTGCCTGTGCCTGATCGCCCTCGGCCTTGTGGTCGGGCGCTCTCGCGGGATCCTCTCGCCGTCCCGTCCCCCCCTCCTGTCCTCCCTTCCCTCTCTCCCCCCGCCCCGCCTCCATCCCTCGTCCTCCCGCCCTCTCACCCTGCTGTCCCGCCTCCCTCCCTCATTCTCCCCTGCCCTTGTATCCGAGTCCTCCAGAACACGATAAAAAGGGGTCCTGTTGGGTGGTCCCAGGGCCGCTATGACACCCGTCGGCGGGCACTGAACTGATCAGCGCAATTAGAACGGATGGATACGAGAGGCCGGATGTCAGATATGGCGCGAGCGCACCCAGCTCGCCTTCTCTCTTTTCTCCCCCCTCCGGAACGCTCAGTCGACCTCGGCTTCACGTGCCGTTCTTTGCCGCTGCCTCTGAGATGCCTTCGGGGCCTGGATCCCGGAGGTTTCCCTGGCTCCCTGTGGGAGGCCATCCTCGACCCTCGGTTTCACGTGCTGTTCTGTGCTGCTGCCTCGGAAATGGTTTCGGGGCCTGGATCCCGGAGGTTCCCCTAGCTCCCTGGGGGAGGCCCTCCTCGACCCTCGGGGCCGGAGGGGCTCGGCGCTCGCCCGGCAGCAGTGGCCGTGGACCGCCGATCCGCTCCAGTCCCCCTCCTCCCCTCCCTCCTCCTCCTCATCCTACTCCTCTGCCTCCTTCCTCCTCCGCTTCTCTCATCCTCTCCTCCTCCTCTCCTCCTCCTCCTGCCTCCTCCTCCTCCTACTCCTCCCTCCTCCTCCTCCTCTCCTTCCCCTGCCTCCCTCCTTCATCCCCTCCCCTCCCTCCTCCTCCTCTCTCCTCTCTTCCTCCTCCTCCCTCCTCCTCTCATCCTCCTCCTCCTCCTCACTCCTCCTCCTCCTCCTCCTCCTTCCTCCTCCTCTCTCCCTCTCCTCCCCTCATCCTCTCCTCCTCCTCCTCCTCTCCCTCCTCCTCATCTCTCTCCTCCTCCTACCGAGTCCTTACCTTCCTCTCCTCCTCTCCTCCTCCTCCTCCTCCTACTCCTCCTCCTCCTCCTCCTCCTCCTCCTCCTCCTCCTCCTCCGCCTCCTCGAGCTCCTCCCTCCCTCCTTCTCCTCCTCCCCCATCCTCCCTCTCCTCCCTCCTCCCGCAGGGGTCCGCCGCCTGCCGGGCCAGCTCGCCCCCGGGGGGAGGCGCGGCGAAGGGCCCCGAGGGGGGGAGGGGCTGCTGGAAAACTCCTCCTCCTCCTCCTCCTCCTCCTCCTCCTTCCTCCTCTCCCTCTTCCTCCCTCCCCCTCCTCTCCGCCTCCTCTTTTCATCCTCCTCTTCCTCTTCCTCCTTCCTCCATCCTCCTCCTCCTCCTCCCTCCTCCTCCTCCTCCCCTCACTCCTCCTCCTCTTCTCCTCCTCCTCCTCCTCCTCCTCCCCTCTCTCCCTCTGCCTCCTCCTCTCCTCCCCTCCTCTCCTCCTCTCCCCTCCTACCTCCTACTCCGCCTCCTCTCCTCACTTACCTCCTCCTCCTCCTCGAGCTCTCCTTCTTCCTCCTATCCTCCTCCTCTTCCTCCTAACTCCTCGCATTAATCCTCCTCTCCTCCTCCGCCTCCTCCTCCTCCTCCGCCTTCTACTCCTCTCTCCTCCCACAGAGGTCCGCCGCCCCGCGGGCCCAGCTAGCCCCGGGCCCCGGGGGCGAAGGCCCCGAGGGGGGGCCGATGCGCTGTGGAAAACTCCTCCTCCTCCGCTCCTCCTCCTCCTCTACTTCCTCTTTCCTACTCCTCTCCTCCTCCTCTCCTCCTCCTCCTCCTCCTCCTCCTCCTCTTCCTCTTCCTCCTCCTCCTCCTCCTCCTCCTCCTCCTCCTCCTCCTCCTCCTCCTCGGAGGTGTCCCGGGGCGAGGGCCCACCCTTGCTGGTGCATGCTGCGGTCCGTGGCCTGGCCACTTCAAGCCTGCCGAGGCCACCGGTCAAAACTGCTCCGCTTACAAGAAGGCCAGTACGGCTGAGTCCTACACCCACACATGGGTATGTACACACTGCTCATGTCTAAGTTTTCGAGAGTTATTTGATTTTTTGGGGGCCAAGATCCCGTCATTTCTAATTGTTCTATCCTGGGCCTCTTCCTGGCCACTAGGGGGCCAGGAACAATTAGAAACGAGCACAATTAGAAATGAGCACGATTAGAAATGAACGACGTGTAGATATGAAGGCCGAAGTGAAGGCGGTCTTGAAGACGATGAGTGGTTCCACGGGTCCTTGGCCCATGAAGGGAAGGAACCCCGCGGAGGTGTCGCCCAGGCCAAATATGAATTCTGTGTGGCGTAGCCCAGCAGGGGTGGCCAAAGCCAAGCGCCACAACGCCCTGGTAGCCGTTGCCGGTTGAGGAAGCACCGCACCGCCTTGTCGAAGACAGCGTAGAAGGGCATGTAAGAGAAGAACTCCGCCGCGGAAAGGAACAACATGGACGCGGGCCACGGAAGAGGGTGACCGAGCTACCCCGGGGGCGCTAACGCGGGAGACGTGCGTGCCAAGGCCTCTGGCCTCACAGTGACAGCGCCAGCCGGGGATGATATTACCCACTGATATTGAGTCGGGCATGTCCCTCTACAGGAGGAATATTCAAAAATAGTCAAGAATAGTACGGGGACGGTTTGTTTTAGCTTTTAAAGCAAATTATATTGGAGGTATTTTTGGAGCGTTTTTCATTTTTCTTCCAAAATCGGCCTGTAGGACGACATGCCCGACCTAACACTGATCCCGCGGACGCCTGCGCGGCAGACGCAGAGTCCAGGGCCCTCGAGCAGCCGGCGGGATGGCACGTGGCAGCGACAACAGCGGCGGCTCTACGGAGATGGGCTTGAAGTCCAGAACGCCCCTCCAGCAGCCGAAGAAGGCGGAACGACAATAGCCGAAGAAGAAAAACACGGCACAAACATAAATTGTTGGCGCTCCGCGCGGCTTTCTTGGATCCGCGCCAGGACCCCCCGCGGCGTCTCCGGCGCCGCCCCTGGCGCGCTCTGCGCGCCAGGGGGCGCGCCACGAGATTTCTCTTTTCCTTTTTATTATCAGTATTATTATTTTCATTTTTCCCGTTATCATTATTCTACTGAGTAGGTGGGAGCCATTTGGAGGTGGTCGGTGCATGTATGCGGGCATCGGGAACGCCTACGTCTTGACATCGCTCGGGCGTGTGCCTTTTTTCTCGGCGAGGACCATCGAGCCTGGGTCATCTTGCGAAAGAAGACACGCACGAAGCCGAAACATGCGCGAGGAATGGACGCCCGAGCGATGGCGAGACGCGCCCCCAAATAGGGCATAGTGATGAAGGCAGCGCGATGTATGTCACAGGGGCCCTGGTCGCAGGCGAGGATGGTTCGTGTCGCATAGGCGTTGTTTCTACAGGTCGGACCAAGGTATGAGATCGAGGTCGGTTCGGGGAGGGCACTCTCTAATAATCTTCCTGCCTGTTGGATGTTCTTGTGCATCCTGGGGGGGTATCCTCGAATGTTCTTCAGGTTGGGCCGGCGGAGGGTCTCATGCTCTTGAGGGATGGTCTTCTGTCCTAGGTCCGACTGTTCCGTATTGCGAAGGCCTTACGGCAGGTGCCGCCGACCTTGAAGGGAGGACGACGACGACGACGACGACGACGACGACGACAACGGCAGTGGCGGCATCGACGACGACGCTGACGTGGGCCAGAGTCCTCGAGGATGCTTCTTGGGGTCTCTTCAGAAGTCTCTCGGGGGGCCTCTTGGGAGCCTCTTGTGGGCCTCTTGGGAGCCTCTTGGGGGCCTCGTGGGAGCCTATTGAGCGCCTCTTCGGGCTTCCTGGGAACCTCTTGTGAGCCTCTTGGGACTTCTTGTGAACCTCTTGGGGCCTCCTGGGCGTTTATGAAGTTCTCAGCGCCTCCATGACGTTGCGCCGCTCTGTGACAACGAGCGCTATCTCCACAGTGACGATCGTCGCCTACACTTTGCTGCTCGTTGTCCATCTGGGACCGTGGCAAACACAGCCAATTGGCAGTTCGTTGAGACCATCGCCGTGATGATGCGTCTCATGCAGATGCAGATGCGCTGTCGATCGGGTGACACATGCGAGCGGAAATACAGCTGGTCGGTCGCTCAGGGTGTGAATAACCAGCGATTCCCACTGTTGCCAAGATTCGTCTCGCACCTCTTGCGTCTCAGGCCAGGGACGACTCGCACCGCATATTGCGCATCATGTTCTCCGATTGGTTGCCTAATCGTGTATTGTGCTGGATGCCCGGTTTGCCGATCATGTTTTGCGCACCACCCCCCAATCACAGTGACGAGCATGTTACCGTAGGGCTGTTAGTAACATCATAGTATGCAACCTCATCCACTTGTTGTTAGTTGTTTATTTTTGTTTTGTTTGTTGTTCTTGTTTTTGTTTGGTTTTTGTTTGTTTGTTTTGTTGTATTTTTTTGTGTGTTGTGTTTTGTTTTTTTTTTGTTTCTGTTTGTTTTGTGCTTTTGCTTTAGTTTTTTGTTAGTAACATCATAGTATGCAACCTCATCCACATCATCGCCCACATTCGTCCTCATCCGCATCACAAGTATTATCCTCGTCATTGTCCTCAACGTGGTGCATGATCCTCCACTCCCCTCCCCCATCCCCCCTCATCACAACCATCCAGCCTCAAACCCGCCACCCTCCCCATCCAGCCTCCTCGCTCTCGAGTCCTCTCCTCCCCTCCTCGCCCTCCAGATCCTTCCCTCCCTCCTGCGATCAGGGACCGCCTGCATCCGTTCGTCGGCTGCGAGCAAGGGAGGGAAGTGAGAAGGAGAAGGCCTTCTCAGAAGGCTCGGAAGTCCCCCAACCTTCTGAGAAGGTTTCGAAGTCTTCCCCGAAGACACAAAAAGCTGCTCAGAAGGCGCGAGGGCTTCTGAGAAGTCCCGCCGACCTCTGAGAAGGCCTTCTCCTTCTCACTTCCCCCCCCTCGCTCGCAGCCGAATTTGGCTTTTGGGTCATAATTCGGGTCTCCGGCGGCCATTCGGGACGATCCGGGCACCCGCGGAACGCCCTCGGCGAGGCGCAACTGTTCACGAGCATCCTGAGGCTGGAAAACCGCCGAGAACCGACGGAACGAAACCGTCCGAGAACGCCTCGAAGCTCGAACCCGAAAGCTTCCCCCCCTCGCTCGCCGCCGAGTTCGGGACGGCCTTCCGTGCCCCGCCTCGGCCGCCGCGGCCGCAAAAGGCCGCGGCGGCGGGCCGCGCGCAGGGCGCACGCCGTCAGGGGCGGGCGGGAATCGCGGGGGCCTCCAGCCGGGCGGGCGCATCCCCGGCGCCGACGCCACCGCCGTCGTCGCCCTCGACCTCGATTTCGACCTCGTCATCGCCGTCGCCCTCGTCCTCGTTCTCGCCCTCGTCCTCGTCCTCGCCCTCGTCCTCGTCCTCGCCCTCGCCCTCGCCCTCGTCCTCGCCCTCGTCCTCGTCCTCGCCCTCGTCCTTGACCCTTTCCTCGCCCTTCGTCCTCGTCCTCGCCCTCGTCCTCGCCCTCGTCCTCGCCTTCGTCCTCGCCCTCGTCCTCGCCCTCGTCCTCGCCCTCGTCCTCGTCCTCGCCCCCCCCGCCCCTCCCTGCGCTCCATCGGTCGGCCTCGAGCCGGTGACCGGCACGCTGGGCCGCGGCATCGACGACGGCAAGCCGAGCGTCGTGAAGGCCGCGGCCGAGGCCGCGCGAGGGGGCCGCCGAGGGGGCCTTCTCTCCCTCCTCTTCCTCATCGTCCTCCTCCTCCTCCTCCTCCTCCTCCTCCTCCTCCGCCTCCTCCTCCTCCTCTCCGTAGCCATTTTGGCTCAAGCGATCATACGGCCTTGCTCGTCCGCGCCTCCCCGCGCGCGATGGCGGGGCCTAGAGGAGTCCTCCCAGCGCTCGACGGCGCGGCCCTGGTGGCTGCCGCAGTGCGCGCCGCGGTGGAGGGGAAGGCGCCACGGCGGACCATCGCGGCCGTCGCTCGCGCAGCAGTGGCGGCGGCGTCTTCGGCTGCGGTTGCCAGGCCGCCCGAGCCGAAGGCTGGCGGTGATGCCGCTGGGCCCGCGCAGCCTGGTGGGCCTGCGGCTGCCTCTCTCGTTCGTGTTTCTACGGAGGCGCAGCGGGACCGACGCCGTCGGCGTCGCCAGAGGCTGGCTGGGCGAAGGGCGCTGGAACGTGGTGAGGCTGCTGCTGCTGCTGCTGCTGCTGCTGCTGCTGCTGCTGCTGCTGCTGAGGAGGTCGCGGAGGTCGAGGCGGTCGCGCCCATGGCGCTGGACGGCCCCGCGCCCGCGGCCACAGACAACGCCGCGGACCTCGACGACGATTCGTGGGCTGATGCTGCTACGCCGTCTCGGCGTCGGCGGCGTCGTGCTCCCGAGCATGCTGCACTGGCATCTGCGGCGGCTGGAGCAGATGGTGCGGGTCTCGCCCTGCCGTCTGCTGAGGCCGCTCCGGTGGAGGCCCTGGTGGTGGACGAGCGCGCGGCCGTGCTCGCACAGGTCCTCGCGCTGGCGACCCGACCCGACAAGGAGTCCTTCTTCGCTGGCGAGCCGGTGGACGTCTTGAAGGAGGTCCTCACGGTGCTGCGCAAGTCGTGAGGCTTGCCTGGCCCACTTGGGCCCCACTGCCGCCTCGTGGTTGGGCCTCTGCTTGCATGCCCCAGGTGCGCAGTGGGTGATCCCTTGTGTGGCCCTTCCCCGCCTGTTGGCACCACGTGTGAGCCTCTCACGGCAGCTCGGTTGGTGTGCAGACAGGCGGTGCCCTCCGTGTTCAGCTTCGTGGGCACGGACTTCATACTGTGCAGGCGCCTTCGGCGCGAGGGGCGACGCCCCTTTTTTGGTGCTTGCTCGTTGTTGCCCGAACCGACCCCAGCTTATTTTTTTTTTTTTTTTTTTTTTGTTTTCTTTTTTTTATTTCTCCGCCCGCGGGTGCGTGTCCATTTGTTGGTTTTATTTTTTGCGAGCTACTGCGGTCCACGTCCTCCTCCTCCTACTCCTCCTACCTCATCCTCCTCCTCCCATCCCTCCCTCTTCACTTCATAGTAATCCTCCTCCTCCTCCTCCTCCTCCTCGTGATCCGATTGCTGCGCTGATGCGACGCGAGGACGCCCATCGAGGGCGCGCAGGTCTTCGCGCTTCGCGGTGCGGTTCCGATTGGTCTTGTGGAAGCAAGGGCGCCCTCGGGTCAGGCGATCGCAAACATGGATCAAGGGAGCGTGGATTAGCGACGGGTCCCGTTCCACGGGGAACCGCGGATTTCCGCCCGCCGAACAGGGCGGCACCGGCCGCATTTGGGGGAGGGCACCTCCCCCGACCCACGAATTTGGCGACCGCGCGCCAAATCCATGGATCCCGGATCCATGTTCGCGCGCCCCCGACTCGAGGGCGCGAGCTTGTTTTTCGCGCTGCGCGGTTCGGCTCCGAGTGCTCCTCTCAGGAGGAAAAGAAACACACAGACACAATTACTTGTCGATTCCCAGGAAAATATGGGAAAATATGGGAAGTGGGTTGGAAGACAAAAACCCAGAAAATATGTGAAAATATGGGGCACATTTTTATTTGTGTGTATTTGTTTGTGTGTCCTGGGGCCCCTTCATCCTCGTCCTCCCCTCTCTCCCAGGGGGGGGGGGGGGGGCGGCGCGAGGGCGCGGAGGAGTTGTTCGCGCGTCGCGCCGCGCGAGGCGCGCAAGTGGGGCGCCCATGGGGAGCATGGGGCGGGAGGCGAGGCCGCCGAGGGGAGCCGCAGGGGTCGGGGGCGCAGGGAGGGAAGGGAGAGGAGGCGCGGAGGGGCCTGGACGGGGGAGGGCGAGGAGAGGGCGGCGGTCGAGGATGAGGAGGACGAGGACGGGGAGGTAGAGTTGGAGGAGGACGAGAACGTGGAGGAGGAGGAGGAGGAGGAGGAGGAGGAGGAGGAGGAGGAGGAGTCGGGAGGAATGATCCGATTGAGCTCCCTCTGGGGCTCCGACGGTTGTGCCAAGCAATTCAGGGAGGGAGGCTGAGGATTAGGATGAGGATGAAGTGGAGCAGGATTTGGATTTGGAGCAGGATGAGGGAGGAAGAAGGAGGATGGAGGAGGGAGAGAAGAAAAAGAAGAAGAAGAGGAGGAGGAAAGGGAGGAAGGTTGTCTGCGGAGACAGACGCAACAAAGCGAACGAGCAATGCGTCTTCTGCAACCACGGTGGATCTCGCGTCAGAACCCTGAAATGGTGCCCGCTTTGAGCCGTCTGCTGGCCCTTGGCGATGACGGACTGCGTTCTGACTTACGTCCGGACGCTTGCGAGGTCACCCTTCGGAGTGCAGATCTTGGATCTCGCGAAGTCCGTGGATGGCCGCCGCCGCGCATGAGGATGGAGGAGGAGAATGATGCTGAGGAGGAGGAGGAGGAGGAGGATGAGGAGGAGGAGGATGAGGAGGATGAGGAGGAGGAGCAGTCATGGGCGAAGACGAGACAGCCACAGCCGCTGGGCTGAGGGAGCCGCCGCTGGCGCCCCCCCAAGGCCGACCCCGATCCCGCCGCGGTGGTGACCTGCGCGCGGCACTCGAAGTCTGGCGCCGCGCGCTGGTCATCACCGCGGCGGGGTCGGGGTCGGCCTTGGGGAGGGCGCCAGCGGCGGCTCCCTCAGCCCAGCGGCTGTGGCGGGCTGCGAGCGGGACTCCAGGACGCAGGTCCGAAGGCCAGTGGCGCCCTCGCAGGAGGGTGGTGGCACTGGCCTCTCTCTTTGAGAGTTCCCGCCTCCTCCTCCTCCTCCTCCTCCTCCTCCTCCTCCTCCTCTTTCTCCGTTTCCCTACCCATGCTTTCGTCCTCGTCTTCCAACCCCTTTACCTCACCCTTCTCTGTTCTACTCCTCCTCCTCCTCCCTCCTTCTCTCCATCCTCATCCTCCTCCTCCTACTCCTCCTCCTTCTTTCTCGCCTCCTCCTCCTCCTCCTCCTCCTCCTCCTCTTCATGTCTCCTCCTCCCATCCTCCTCCTCCTCCTCCTCCTCCTCCTCCTCCTCCCTGTCCTCCTCCCTGTCCTCCTCCCTGTCCTCTTCTTGGCTCAAGGCCACAGCCCCTGTCGGCGTAGGTGCTGCGAGCGTGCACATCGGCCCGAGTGCTGGCGCCTCCCCCCCCTACATCTACCTATGCCTGGGCTCCGCTCTGCTGCCAGCCGCACGGCGCGCTATGTTCGAGCAACGGAGAATGGCTTCTGTCAACCATCTCTTGGTGTTTGTCTCGGCTGGATGGCCGTGCCGCCACCGCCGTTTGAGAATCAAACGCTCATCTTAGGTATCGGTGACAAGACGACAAAGTTCGCTCCCCTTCTCCGCGGGTGTTTATTTTGCAACACGTCGCGCTCCCTGTTGGCGCATTCGTTGGCCACCATTGACATATGGGGCGCAGGGGCGGGACGCTCTGGCCTTGTACAAGCGGGCGCTTATTTCGGAAACGGCGGTTTGGCTGAAGGACGTGGCAGTTCACGTGGTCCGCTCCATGGATATACACGCACTTGATGACCGTGATGTTGAGGCTCCTCGTGACTATGCTCGCGAGGCGTCTGCGGAAGCTTGTCTTCCTGCTGTTCTCCGTCAGCGTGTTCGTTACCATCGAGCTGCGAATCGCGCCAAACACCGAGTCGGTTTGCCCCTAGCTGAACCACGAGTTGTTGACTTGGTTTACTCGGGGAGTGCGCCGCTTCTCAGCTTGCACTGCCGGCCTGCACGTCCGTGGCCTCCGCCGAGAACATCTCCAAGGCCGACACCGACAATAACGATGATATCAAGTACCACATGACGAACATCAAGCAACGCCCCGCCGCCAGCGAGCAGCAGCAACAAGAACAGCACAACACCATCGATGATCTTCAGCTACGCCTCGCAGAACGTCATAAGCTCATCAGCGTGCCATCATCAAGACCAGAGGCGCGGTCAACTACCAGTTCGAGAACATGGCGAACCAGCTTTGTTGTGCAGTGGCAGCCGCAACTGGAGTCCATCAGCCGGCCCAATTCGTGGGCGTGCCCACGATTGATGCTGCGTTGGTGTTCTTTGCGTTCGATCATCTATGGGGTGAAGATGCTGCTGCGTGCGATTCCCAGGGCAATCTCGCAAGCGACCCCAACTAGAAGAAGATGGACGTGCCAGCGCGTGACAACTCCGAAAGTTCCCTGCCCACGGTCCGCCACGACCGCCATTTTAGCGGTCCCAACGAGATGACGATGCACGCGCCGATGTGCAACGACGCCGTGAGTCCTACGCCCGCCAAGCTCTTGGACCATGCTCTGGCCGTGCTTGTGGACGCCGACGCCGCGCAGTGCTGCTCGCCCGCCTCCGCCGTCGCGGCGCTGAACAGCTCAATGCGGATGACCACCGACAAGAAGAAACTTCAACCCGACATGGAGATCGTACTCTCTGTCTTCGCCGTCGCGGACACCGAGATTCACAGCATCGAGCACCAGACGCACGAGCTGCTGATGCACTGGCTGCCGGAATACCTCGACATTTGCTACGCCAGCGAACATAACGCCGATGACGGCGACTCCGTCGTGTCCGCGCCCAGCGTCCCGCAGAATGCCCTCAACGTGTCATCCGAGGCCGATGTCTTCGTCGACAAGCTGATCAATGGGATGGACTCGCTCGACCCTTCCGAGTGCGACACACAGGAGGACAGTCTCCAGCACGCCCAGGACATCATCCAGCGCCAAACCAGCAGCGTCGACAGCTACG